TGTTCATTTTCCATTACAGTTTTGAAAAATTCTTTCACTCTATCAAGGTGGGATGCTGATGAGACTTGCATGCTGGCTTTAATGGTACGAGGATGTGCTACAATTCCCAGGTTACGGAGAGATGCCAAACTTTGCTGGCTTATTCCAAATTGCTGGAGGATTCTTGCAAGTGATACCTGGAACCAGTTAGCCCGTTGTGATTGTGAGTACATCATGATGTATATGACAACCATTACTCATAATTTGGTGAGACCTTGACGCTCATCTGACATTCTATTTGAACTCATAGCCATATGTAGGGTTGAAAAGAGTTTTCCAGCTCCAGCTTGCATGCAAATTTCTTCAAATTGATTTGGGTCCATTACTGGGGGTTGTGGGTCATAAGCAAGGAAATGTGTTTTTAATTTTTCTAGATCACCTTTGATGTCAAAGATCTCAGCAGATTTCTGAATAAGTTCTTCATATTCTTCTTTAGACAAAAAGATACCATCATTTGTCTGGCACTCAACACTTGCACTTGTTACACTGATTACATCATCATTTGCTTCTGAGTCCTGACTTGGAAAGCTCAATGTAATCGTTGATTCTGTGCCTTGGCTATTGGATGCCTCAGGAACAGAAGGACTTGGTGGGTATTGCTGCCAATAGGAGAGGTCAATGTGATGGCTGATTCTGTGCCTTGGCTACTGGATGGTTTAGGGACAGAAGAACTTGGTGGGGTATTGCCGCCAATAGGAGAGGTCAATGTGATGGTTGATTCTGAACCTTGGCTGCTGGATGACTGAGGGACTGAAGGACTTGGTGGAGTTGTGAACACAAGATCATCTTCATCTATTTCTCCTCTATCGGGCTCACTGGTCATAGACCTTGCAAGATCCTCAAGCAACATTTGGAATATTTAAGCCTTAATCTCGGATACTGAGTTCACTAATAAATAATTTAGATTGTCCCCCTTTAATAGTAGGGTGGGGAGAGAAATTCAATAGGCCAGAGAGTGTTGGCAGAAATTGAGTGGCAGGCACTGACTTTGCAAAATATTGGTGGTGTGAATATAAATTGCCATGATGTCATACATGGCTGTCTATTTCACAGCCCCAAATTCTATTACTCAGTCTAAAGTTTGGGAAAAGTAGATAATACCAATTCTGATTAATTTAAGAGATAACTTGACTTTATAGTTGAAAAACCTTGCTACTGTATAAGTTATTATAGTAGTGTAATTACTTATTTTATTTTTAGTCTGGTCGAGAGGTTAAGGAAATATTGCAGGTAGTTGTTTGCCTTTGTCTCACCTCACCCATACCATATATTTGCCAAGTATGCACTGCTATAATTGTCAGAAAATTGTAGTTCATGCAGGAAATGCATTTAGTAAATAATTTGAAAATTAGCTACTAGAACGTTTTTGTCATAGGGCATTTTTGTACAACTGAATAACATAATTTTGGTATATTGGCAAGATTAACAGTCAGAAGTTTTACTGTTTGGACTTTGGGTGTATTTTTCGCCTTTTCAGAATCGTTTGTTTGTCAAACTTAATGACAATGCGAATGTATAAAAATTTTATGGCTTACCTTCTTTTTAATATCGTCACCTGTAGACGTTTTTGTAAAATGTCTAGTAAAACTCCTCTTTTTTAAACACTGCTGGAGGCAACTAAAGCAAACATGGTTGACATTTCGTGATTTGATCTCCTTTTCATGAGAAATAAACTTGGCAAAAGCATGTGCAATTCACTCGAACCAAAAACTCGCAAGTTGACTATTCTGGAACCTTTTACACCCTCCGACCACTCCTCATGAAAAGGATTATTGCAACTTATCAAATATTTAGGCATTTTGCAGCATTTTGCAGCGAATGGTTATGCCGAAGGCAGTCAACGGCATAACCATCCAATTTGAATGGTTATGCCGAAGACAGTCAATGGCATAAACATCTAAATTGAATGTTTATGCCGAACATATACAACGGCATAAACATCTAAGTTGAATGTTTATGCCGAACATATATACAACGGCATAAACATCTAAGTTGAATGTTTATGCCGAACATATACAACGGCATAAACATCTAAATTGAATGTTTATGCCGAACATATACAACGGCATAAACATCTAAGTTGACTGTTTATGCCGAACATATACAACGGCATAAACATCTAAATTGAATGTTTATGGCGAACATCTACAACCGCATAAACATCTAAATTGGATGTTTATGCCGAACATATACAACGGCATAAACATCTAAGTTGAATGTTTATGCCGAACATATACAACGGCATAAACATCTAAATTGAATGTTTATGCCGAACATATACAACGGCATAAACATCTAAATTGAATGTTTATGCCGAACATATACAACGGCATAAACATCTAAGTTGAATATTTATGCCGAACATATACAACGGCATAAACATCTAAGTTGAATGTTTATGCCGAACATATACAACGGCATAAACATCCAAGTTGAATATTTATTGATTGAGATCACTAGTTCAGATCAATGCAGTATGTTCGTGAACACGTGGTACAGTGGTAGAAACCACAGACATCAAATGCGTAATGGATCGATTCTCGTCGAACAATTTTTTATATTTTCGCACCAAGAAATATTCGGAAATTACTAATTCTTTTTTTTTTCTCCAAAATTATTTCCTCAGGTTGAAAGCAAACGGTATATTCCTACTTACTTTAGCCCAATGTTTATGCGGAACATATTCAATTCAACGCTATAAACATGAGTTGAACGGCTATGCCGAACCGAGTCAACGGCATAACCATCCAAGTGGAATGGTTATGCCGAAGGCAGTCAACAGCATAACCATCCAAGTTGAATGGTTATGCCGAAGGCAGTCAACGGCATAACCATTCGAGGCTGAAGGCCTCGGTATTTTGCTGTGTAACGTCGATTTTTGAAATCAGCGCAGAAATCTAAGCTAACTAATGATTTCCATCTATTTGCACCAAAACGATTCTGCATGCACCAAAGAAGGCAGTCAACGGCATAACCATTCAAGTTGAATGGTTATGCCGAAGGCAGTCAACGGCATAACCATTCGAGGCTGAAGGCCTCGGTATTTTGCTGTGTAACGTCGATTTTTGAAATCAGCGCAGAAATCCGTACCGAAATTGACCAAAATCACTGGTTTCCCTAGCTAACTAAGACAACTAACGTGTTCCCTATGTATGCACCAAAACGAAAAACGATTCTGCATGCACCAAAACGAGGCTGAAGGCCTCGGTATTTGCCCGTGTAACATCGATTTTTGAAATCAGTGCACCGAAATTGACCAAAATCACCCGGTTTCCCTAGCTAACTAAGACAACTAACGTGTTCCCTATGTATGTATTCTCATAAATTCCCTGCTCGGGTTACGATACCCTCCTTTCTCCTCCTGGACTATTATTTGGGTGTCTCATAAGCACGCTGAAATATGCTTGTATTAGCGTGCTTATGAGAATCCCTCTCATTAGCACGCTGAAATATGCTTGTATTAGCGTGCTTATGAGAATCCCAAAATTGACCAAAGTCACATATTCTCATAAATTCCCTGCTCGGGTTACGATACCCTCCTTTCTCCTCCTGGACTATTATTTGGGTGTCTCATAAGCACGCTGAAATATGCTTGTATTAGCGTGCTTATGAGAATCCCTCTCATTAGCTTGGATGATGACGTGACGCGCCGTTGCGCGAAGGCGCAAGCCAAAGGGCTCCGCATTTAATACAGTTTTATTTCCGCTGTATTTGCAAGATTTGGACGCGAAATTACACTTAATACAAGATAAAGTGAAGATTTACCTGTAAAAAGTTAAGAGCTGTTAATCAGGTACAAGATAAAGTATATTTTGCGAATATAAATTGTCTGAAATTACAATTTGTGAGAAAGTTTTGTTGAAACAGTTTAAATTGATCACATCACGCAAGCAAACGACGCACGTCAGGTGTACGCGACATCACTTACGTCAGCGCGAGAACGTTCTCATTCTAATCTGCACGTGCAAGCTCAATTAGAACTCACTCAACTTTGAAAATTGGAAAATCTCACGGATTATATATTTATTTGAATATTTTCAACGTTATGAAGAATTATCGAAGATTTGCGTGTATTTTCAACTATATAAGAGACGGTGTAAAATGCTTCATGCTTTGTGTGTTCATTCTTTGGTTGTGTTCTAAATCAAAACCTTATAATCCTCCTCGCAGAAATGCTAAAGACATAGTTATCAACTCAGAACTTGCAGTTTTACCGGAAAAATTATGTATAATTTGGACTGCTACTCGTGATCTCAAGCAAAGGAAGTTTTACTATCCTCTGAACTATCGTTACGGACTAAATCTTCAAATGAATCAAAAGCTATCTCACGTTGTCTTATTAATTTTGCTGGCTGGTGATGTAGCAACTAATCCTGGCCCTGTGTTTGAAATCCCTGGTTTAAAAAGGGGACTCAAAGTGAGTCATCTTAATGTACGAAGTTTACTTCCGAAGATTGATTTGGTACGCTTGTTTATCAGCAAGAATCCATTTGACGTTTTTACCATTTCTGAAACTTGGCTTAAACGTTCAATCACTAATGCTGAAATCAACATACCTAACTATCTAATCACTCATCAAGATCGGAAAGATAAAGCTGGTGGTGGGACAGCTATTTATGTTAGGGAAGGTTTACCTTACCGAACTCGAAACGACTTATGCAGTGAATCTATTGAAACATGTTGGATTGAAATTATACGACCTCGTACGAAATCAATGTTTGTTTGTTCAGCCTATAGACCACCTGAATTTCCAATAAATCATTTTATTGAGGAGTTGAATCAAAATCTTGCCAAAATTCCAGATAACGCAGAAATTATATTATTGGGTGATTTCAGTGTCGACTACAAACAACGCTCAACGGTCAGATCACGCATGCAAACACTAGCGCGGGTTCATTCTCTCGAACCATAGACAATCCAGAAGACAGGGACTGGAAACGCAAGCTAGAATATGATGACAAATCGTGACATCCGTGATGTGCCTGTCACGTAGCAATTACTTGGTTACCACGGTAACAAGTCTTTAAATTTACATAAAAACAAAAGCAAGTGCGT